ACGTGCAAAGCCAAGAGGTGCCTGTTTTGTAATAAGCGCAATAGCTCGCGGTAATTACTGGGCCGATTGCGCTAAAACTTGGCATGGAGGTAGACACTTTCCAGGCGATGCATTTCCATGTGTCTTGGTAGGGGTGCAACTGCACGTGCGCACGTGCAGGGTGACGCTTCCAGATCTCGAGAACGGCTGGACCGATTGTGTTCAAATTTGGCATAACGCTTGATACCGATCAGTAGGTTGCAGTCATTTAGTATGTATTTCCATGTGCCACGATTGGGGTGCAACTGCACGTGCGCACGTGCAGGGTGACGCTTCCAGATCTCGAGAACGGCCGGGCCGATTGAGTTCAAATTTGGTACACCGCTAGAGACCGATTAGTAGGGTGCCGTGCGCAAGTCAGTTTGGACCCATCTTGCACGTGCGCACGTGCAGGGTGACGCTTCCAGATTTCAAGAACGGCTGGACCGATTGCACTCAAATTCGGCAAACATCTAGAGATCGATCAGTAGGGTGCCGTGCACAAGTCAGTTAGTATGTATTTCCATGTGTCACGGTTGAGATGCAACTGCACGTGCGCACGTGGAGGGGTCGTTTCAAGATCTTGAAAACGGCTGGGCCGATTGAGCTCGAATTTGGTACACCGCTAGGGACCGGCGAATAGGGTCCCATGCACAATGCAATTGGACACAGCTTGCACGTGCGCACGTGCAGGGTGACGCTTCCAGATCTCGAAAATGGCCGAGCCGATTACACTCAAATTTGGCACACCGCTATAGATCAGCGAGTAGGGTGCCGTGCACGTCAGTTTGTAACACACCGACTCCGGTCTGCACGTGCAAGGCTCATCCTCTCGTTTGGCGGCGGGCGTTTTTGCTGCGTTTACAAAGGTGCTTGCTCAAACAACCTGCGGTCCCGCGATGCGGAGCCCAGCATCGCAGATGCTGGTACCTGATGGCACCGGTCGCTACTCGCTTAAAACCTCGTGGCACGTGGCACGTGCGATTCCATTTTTCCCATAGTAAGTCAATGGGGGTTTGGGACACTTTTTGCGCAATCGCGAATAGCGGGAAAACGAGCCAAGGAAGGGGTGGTTTTCATCCCAGCATTTTATGGCAAACACGTTTGGGTACACGCTAGTGTGCGCCGTATACCCCTCAGAACTTCGTAACGTGTCTTTGCACGAGGTCAAAGTTGAACTTTTTTCGCTCCCCATGTTAAGTCAATGGGCGTTTTTGCAGAGACTTTTTCATTCGCTCATTGTACAAAATTATATGATACGATTTTGTTTAAACTTTCAGGACTTGTTGAGAAAAGACCATAGAACATGTTGTTATGCTTCTTTAAGCTGTGCAAATTCGTTTGTTCTTTTTAGGCTCGTTTAAAAATGAAAAATTTTAACATGGAAAGTGAATGGGAGCGTCTTTGCTGCTTAATAACTTTTTACAGTTGAGATATATTTAAGTGAAAAGTTGATAGGTTATACAACTTTTGATGCTCTTTCCAATGATATATACAACTTTATTGCACGTGGTGCCGTTTTTGAGAAATATAGTAAAAAAGCACGACATTACCGAGATTTGAGCTCAGACCTATATCGTTACGGTGTCAGGCGGACACGAGGACAGGTGGCGCCGCCGCCGCCCGCATAGCGGCGGGAATGTGAACTAACCTGTTTACCAGAGGGGTGTTCACGGGCACCGCACACTGCTGCGTGCGCTGTGTGCGGTGCGTCCAGCAGGCGTGGGGGTAGGGGATGGGTAGGCGGTTCTGACGTCACGGCTGCGTGCGGTGGACGGTCCGCTGTGGCCAGTCCCGACCGGCCACAGCGATCGCTGTGTGCGGTGACGGAAGGCTGACGTAGGGACGCAGTGGGCGGAGCTTGGAGGCTATGTGCGGTCCGACCGCACACAGGGCCCGTGAACAGCCCTCTGGGCTCTGATCTATGGTATGGTACCATCGGGGGACCGGCCGCCGTCGGCACCATTTCGGGACTTTGCATCGCAATAAAAGGCTTATTTACAATTGAAAATGGACTAGCGAGAGTCGTTATGGAATCAGAATTTGATGCTCTACAAAACTAGGCTATTTTCATTGTGATGGCATCACAGACTACACCGCTAAACCCAATAAAGCAGATTTATGTCGCGTCATCGATGATTACATATAATGTTTCTTTGATATATATGTAGTCGGGTCTTTCAGCTGCGTCCCTCCCCTCCCTCGCCGCGCCGGCGGGTCGGCCATCCGCGGCTTGCCGCCCGCCGGCTGCTGGCCGGTCAGCTGGCCGGTCAGCTGGTCGCCCGCGGCTGTCGGTGCAGTGCGGGATGCCTACTTGCGGGGGGCCGTCGTGGCGGCGGCCCGGGTGGACTGGGCGAGCAGTGAGTTGGGGAGCGCTGCGCTGTCGGTGCTCTAGTTTGTATTGCGTTCGCATGATACGGCTTGAGCCAATACAGAGTGAACTGATTGAGCTGAGCAAGTCTTTATATACATTGAAAAGTAAAGCACTTTTTACTGCATCTACGGTGAGATGCTAGATAAAATTTATGGTCTAATGGTACCCATTACTTAACAATTAAGTGAATCATTTCGTCGCTAAACTCTCGTAAATTCGTATGTCCGCCTCACTATGGAGTTTGGACCGTAACGTATGGCCTTTGCTCAGACAGTATACGAACAGGTGACGGGGATACCTCCCATAGAAGGATGCGACACGATTTTACTGCTAAATAGCGGCCGGCCGCCGTGGGGACGTTTTTGTACGACTTATATCTCGGCAACCACTGGGCTGATACACGTGCGGTTTTTTGTGTGGGGTAGCTTTTTCCCTTCTTTCACATAGTGTGCTACTCTCGATGCATATGGGTGACCCCTAACGCACGTTCCACGTGCAAAGCCAAGAGGTGCCTGTTTTGTAATAAGCGCAATAGCTCGCGGTAATTACTGGGCCGATTGCGCTAAAACTTGGCATGGAGGTAGACACTTTCCAGGCGATGCATTTCCATGTGTCTTGGTAGGGGTGCAACTGCACGTGCGCACGTGCAGGGTGACGCTTCCAGATCTCGAGAACGGCTGGACCGATTGTGTTCAAATTTGGCATAACGCTTGATACCGATCAGTAGGTTGCAGTCATTTAGTATGTATTTCCATGTGCCACGATTGGGGTGCAACTGCACGTGCGCACGTGCAGGGTGACGCTTCCAGATCTCGAGAACGGCCGGGCCGATTGAGTTCAAATTTGGTACACCGCTAGAGACCGATTAGTAACCGCAGGTTGTTGTCAATAGTTAAAACACTATTCTTTAGAATTGTGTTTTTCTATTGAAAAACAAATCTGAGTTCCCTGACAATTTGGCAAAAGCTGCCTGAGATCAGTACAACTTGATGCTCTTGAAAACGGCTGGTCCAAATATTCTGATTTTTTCAGGATTTCTAGTGGGCCAGGTGATCTACGTTCTGGTATGGGTCTCCCCTCCGCGGACCATCTGGTGCACGTGCCACGTGACTTTAAAAATTCCCGTGTTAAGCCAATGGGGAAAATGAAAAAATGCGTTCCACGGCAGATTGCTCGAAAACGATCCAAACGACCCCCCATTTTCTTACATGCAGATCAACCACCATTCGGTGCACTACCCATGGGTATGTCGCAAAATGGCCGGAAAAGTCCAGAACCACGTGTCACGTGCCGTTGAAAATGACCCTGCACACCGGAAATTGGGACTTTTGGTCATTTCGGCGCACCCATGATGCATACTATGGCGTGGGTGACCAAACAATGGGTGTCATCCGGTCGGCAACTGTTTAAGGTGTCGTCCAGTGGGCCAAAGTGGTAGTTTCAAACTTTTGGGATCCACCACTCTGGGGATTCTTTTTGACAATATACTTACGTTTCTTGGCGCAATGTTCATTCCACCCAGCCGGTCGTCAATGCGTTAGATGACCCAAATGACGATTGACCTGAAGGAAGTTGGGGGCGAGGAACACGCACGTGCCATCCGTTTTTTACTCGGGCGCTTTCATCTAGGAGATTTTTGCAGATACGTCAATGCGTTAGATGACCCAAATGACGATTGACCTGAAGGAAGTTGGGGGCGAGGAACACGCACGTGCCATCCGTTTTTTAATCGGGCGCTTTCATCTAGGAGATTTTTGCAGATATCTTTTTGATTTGTGAAAATGACCAGCCTAGCGGTATGCCAGCCGCTGATAAATTATTATCTTGCTGCGGCCGGGCGCTTATTTGCGGTGTTTGCGTTTGGCGGCTGGCGGGCGACTTTTAGTCGTTTTCGGTTAGCAGTTAGCGTCGGTGCGGTGCGGGCGGTTTTATTTTTTTCGGCGTTTCGGCGTTTTTTTCTGTGTGGTTTGCGGCGGTCGGGTGATTTTTTGCCGTTTGCGTTGGCTTTTCGGGCGTGCGTTTTACACGTTTTGCGGTGTTTACGTTTTGCGGCGGGCGGGCGTTTTTTGTTTTTTGCGGTGTTTGTCTTTGGCGGCGGGCGGGCGGGCGGGCGGGCGATGCGGGCGGTTTTCTTCTTTTTTTTTTGCGTCGTTTGCGGTGTTAAATTTGTTTGCGGTTGGCGGGCGGTTTTATTGTTTTGCGGCGTTTTTGCGTTTTTTATTTGCGGTTTGCGGCGGGCGGGCGTTTGTTTATTTTTTGCGACGTTTGCGTTGGCGTTTCGGGCGTGCGTTTTGCGCGTTTTGCGGTGTTTGCGTTTTCCGGCGGGCGGGCGTTTTTCACAATTCAAAGTCCAAACCTTCGGGCCACAGCGCTCCTCGAAAAGCGCTGCCCTCGAGTAAACAATGCTTCTTAGCCTGCAGCGATACAGCTGGGTATGCTATAAAAGAGGCTTAAGGATTAGGACTAAACGCTATAGGACAGGACGAATGTATATTTAGTCCCTTGGGGTTATGTTTTAGTGAACTGATGTCTTACCTGGTAAAATAATTTACCAGCAGCCATTTTACTGGGTGCATCACTCATGCATCACTCCGGTATTTTGACGCACCTGATTCGAGGCTAAAACATGTCTGGTGCAGCTTTCCCTTGAAGAGCTCCAGACCAATAATGGCGTAAATGATGATGACGAATATCACAAGCAGCGCGATGTGAAGTAAAGGCACCATGGCGCGAAGAATGGAGTTGAGGACCACCTGCAAACCTGCAAACACAAACATGCCCTTAAGTTTATAGCCAGCAAGAGGACAGTTAAGTCACAGAAACGGCGATGTTGTATAAAAAAGATACTTGCAAAGAAGTATAAACGAACAGCTGTATATCCTAGCAAGGTAAATGTCGCAACTTATTACAATATTATATTTTTAAAATGCCGCAGATTCTCTCCCGGTAGCAGGTACAACGGACCATAGAGATCTTATATATGTTACAGGGAGTATGCGATTTCAGTTAGTTTGCAACGACCCTAGGGTGGTTGTAACCTCCCTGAACGATCAGTTTGTTTGCAACGACCCTAGGGACGTTACAAAATAACTGCTCGTTCCGGGACGTTGTAACGAAACTAGGGTCGTTGCAACCTCCCTAGTTAGTATGCAACGAACCTAGGGTTGTTACAAAATAACTAGGGAGTTTAAGAATTCATCGAATCTTGTTTCACAGGAGGGCCGACAACAATCTTGTCCAATGAAAATCTTGTTCAGTCTAGTTCAGTTTAAAATAAAAGGAGAACAAAATTTGAACTTCAGCTCAGGAGTATATGTGGTGCCCGGGACAAAGCACGTAACTGTGATAATTTTGGCTGCATTTTATCGCTGGTGGTTTAGGTACACCTGGTATAAATAGGTGGTGCGGGTGGGACCCCTACTACTTGATCCAAACTTACCCTACTCAGCCTAGCTTAATCCTCGCCCCCCCCCACGTTTTTTTTTTTCGCGATAGCTCCGAACACGCCAGCAACAGAGCTGAAACTAGGATACCTGCCCTTTAATTAAAGCCGGATCTTGTGACACCAAACAGATTTTCAGGTCAGGTCAGGTTACTGACCTATGACGTCATAAGTGGACGGTCCTCAGATGCCGCAACTTCGCAACGCCCTCAGTCCCAGAGAAGCTTTTACAGTGGGATGAAACTTACAGTACGTGCATCTTCTAGAAGTCTCACAACTTCTAAGTACCTCTAGGATTTTTCCTAAAGATCACGAGAGGTCAGGTCGGTCACGTGACCTCACCACTATAAGTCAATTGAGAAAAATGAAAACTGCTATTCTGGCGCCGGGAACGATCTCAAACTATCGAAAGTACACGGATCGTGATTTCATGCACTCCTTGCAAGGTTAGATGCTTCAATTTTGCATTGTTGACGTTGCGTGACGTCATTTATGACGTCACTAGGGTCATACGAGCTTTTCGTCAATAACTCCCGATCAAACTGAGATAGCGAGTGGGTCAAGCCACCACCAATGGACTGAGGAAGACGTGCCGAATCGAATAATATGCAACATGACCTCCTTTGACCAATGTCGCGACCTAGGGGTCTCTGACTTGACCTTGACCCGAGGTCAACACCTCAAGTTGACCTCACCCGAACAAAAAGTATACCATTCGACGCGCCTGAGCAAGGCGAGCACGTTGATGCTAAAATCGCGCTCTGCGACTGTTTTTTAAGAAGTTATTAATAAAAAACCGAATCCGTGTCTTGGGTCACAATTGACCTGTCCTCAGAGGTCACCGGTTGACCTGAGACCTTAAAATCGGGTACTAGTTGCTGTGTCTCCTAACGGCACACACGCTCGTTTTTCTGCGACGCTCTAGCTCCATCAGGGGCGAAAACCGACGAGGGGGTCGTACCAACCCTCCTCCCGGCCGGCGCGTATGTAGAAAACCAACAGGTCCTGCGGGGTTAACTCTCGCCCTTATTTGTGTTTGGCTAGCCGCAAACGCACAGGGCGGGGCTAAGTTATTGGTTGACCTTCCAGGTCAGGTCAGTGACTTAAAAGTCGGGAAAATCGGGACCTGTCAAAACTTTGGAGAGTTAGGTTGTTACGGTTTTTCGGGGCGCTGATCACGAATTTCATGTTAGCTTTGACCACCGACGATGTCTTGATGTTTTTAGGCCAGGTCGGGTCAGGTCAGGTCAGGTCAACCAGAAGGCGTCTTGCTAGCTGTCCATAGTAGATGTCAACCAGTCACCACTGACAGCCTCGTGACGTGGCACGAAGGCGCCAAGATTACTTCGTAAATATTCAAATGGGGGCTAAATTCGAAATCAGCTCCAAAAACTAGCCTAAAAATATCTGAACCCAGAAGAAGTGAGGTAAGGTCATCAAAGGTCAATGACCCTGACCTGACCTTCACGTGACCTTGACACCCACCATAATGCATGGGACCACCATCATTTCACATGTTTGAACGTTTACAATCACAGAAAGACTGGAAACGAGCGGATAATAGCCGTTTTTACGAAGGGCTTCATCTAATTTGAACAAATCTGCACAAAATGTATACTTGATGGCCGTCGTGAAATACTCCTGAGCTGAATGTTCAAATTTTGTTCTCCTTTTTTTTAAATCGACTAGATTGAACAAGATTTTCATTGGACAAGATTGTTGACGGCCCTCCTGTGAAACAAGATTCGATGAATTCTTAAACTCCCTAGTTATTTTGTAACAACCCTAGGTTCGTTGCATACTAACTAGGGAGGTTGCAACGACCCTAGTTTCGTTACAACGTCCCGGAACGAGCAGTTATTTTGTAACGTCCCTAGGGTCGTTGCAAACAAACTGATCGTTCAGGGAGGTTACAACCACCCTAGGGTCGTTGCAAACTAACTGAAATCGCATACTCCCTGTAACATATACATATATGTATGTATATCAGATCTTAATATGTGTATATAATTTTAATTATTATTTATTAATATTAATATGTATCTCTATGGAATTAATTGATATTATTATGAGCTCTATGGAACGGACGACTTTGATGACTTTGACTTAGAAGACTTTGATAAACGCCTGCACCGTTCGAACGTAGCCTAGTCGGTGAGCTCACCACCGAACTCCGCGACGAGAAAAAGTGGCACGCCGGCCCAGTGCCTTTGATGTTGCCGATCTATCTCACTTTAGATCTAACGGCGCAAATGACGGCATCCGGGACGAGCGAGAGCTGGGAGATTTCGACAGCGACCGGGCAGAGGAGGGAGGGTAAAAAACGACCTACAATACGGCTTTGACGAGCGTTCATCATGAATGCATCGAGTTGTGGTTTTGTAACAATTTGGTGCGACCTCCAGTCTGCTTCGTTGTTTGTATAAGAAGAGTGTAACGTGTTATTCAGGCTACCAAATAACAACATAAACATCAATAAAATGAATTATAGCCGTTTATTGCGGACATAACGTCTTTACGACTTCAGGTCTGTTATGATTTCATCTCTGACTGTGGAAACTAGCGGAGGTAGATCCAAACCAGATGCTGTATGAAACTAGTCCTATGACGGAGCTAATCCAGTCCATGTGTGATCTAATATATCCCGAATACAAAACTTGGCGCACTGTTATCTTAAACTATTATCTTCTCCGTTGTCTACATGTTAACTAGCAGAAATAGACACATCGGATATCACAAAAAGTAAAAACGCCATCAACAGTTTCACTAGATTTATCGTTTTCCCCTGATGCGCTAGCGTTTTTGCTCCACACACATTGGGGTCGATGGTCAGGAAAGGAATTCCAACCAAAGTTGGATGGCCGTGGGATGTGCCACTTCCCAAATGGTGCCAACCCGTCCGTCCACCACAGTGATGACCGTTCTTCTGCCTCTGCCAATGGCCAGATAAATCACCGGAGACCGTCATTCGTCATTGCAAAAAATGCAGGGGTTATTAGGTGCTACCTTTGGTGGCCCAATAAGTCATTAGAACAATCGTCTGCTGCTGATTGGCATGTGGTTAACCACGATGAGCTCTGATGTTTCTTTTTTCATTGCACTACACGATGGCTGCTGTGACTTGTGCAATACGCGTAATTGATACTGATAGGCATTGTGTTAATTATATCCTGCCCGGCTTTGCCCTAGACCATGCGCTAGGCTAGCCAACAAGTGGATATTTAATCAGTGGACGCGTAAACGAACGACACAACCTCACACACATTTGATCGAAAGGTAAATGACTCTCACTGGTCTCTCGTCTGTCTATTCGAGGACTGTGTCTGTTGGCGGTTGTCGGCACCACTTACTGGGAACTCCGGACACAAGTCGAAGTGGCCGCAACACGCGAAACGCCCTGAGCGCCTTGACGTCGAACCCTTCCTTGATTAGTGACGACAGTGCGGTGCTGATTAAACTGAGGAACAGAGACGCGTACATACAGTCAGGTAACAGGGGATGTCAGTCCGCGTTAGCATTCATAAATGGGCGAGAGAGAAGTTGTGCTTAAACGGAGTTGCATGCATGAACAATAACTTACATATAACGTTTATCAATTACCATGCATGCATAGGTATGCTTCTCTCATAATAGTTACATACGGTTTATCAGCGAGGATCTTATAAGATTAGGTTAATAAAGAACATTATTCACCAGAATAATAAAGAAGTAACCAACTTACCCTATAACAACTATGCTAAAATCTAATAAGTTCCAGACATTGCGTAGATACGCCGCTGGATGTAAAAGAAACCCATACGCGATGATCTTCATGATGCACTCGGCTGTGAAGATCACCAGGAAAATGTACTCGATGCTCTCCTGCCAACAGCGGGGCCATCGTCAGTGTCCCGGCGGCCCGGGGGTGCTGTAAAGCCACCGCGACCTGTGCCACAGCGACACAGTCAAAGGTCAGTGGAGCGGTGCGCGCTGCGGAGCCCGGGCGTGGTCCAGGGATCGACCTCTGGCCAGTGGGCACTGGCTGACGGCTGCTGTCGGCGCTCAGAGGGTCAGGGGTGACCGATTGGTGGACCGGGCAGGGAGGGCAGCCCCAATATCCGGGGTGGCAGCGGCCCACGGGCGTGGGTGGCCGCCGTATGACTGGTTTGGCTGCGGGCCAGCCGGGCTACGGAGATACCATTTCTACCCGCCGTCCGGCCAACAGCTGATCACAGCTGAACCCACCGGTCAGGAGGCCCTCAGGACAGCGCCGAGGGCCGAGAGCAGCCTCTGACGCTATCGGCAGACGGCAGATCAGCCAGTTGAATGTCTGTGGCGATAGACACCAGCACATATGACCCGGGATGTAGCTATGTATCTCGGAAATGGTATCAAGTTTCACATTGTATTGAAAAAGACACTGGAGATATTGGTACATTGGCCAAACTTTATTCTTTTCGTTTCAATAGAACTACGGTCTAAAAGCATGATCACACACTCGGTAATGCATGACCTTGCCGGTCGCCATGGTTCCTGAACAAAGCATGGCGTAAGGTCTGAACTGTGCCGGGTTCGACGAGCTCCTGAATCTCGCGTTTCGCTATTGGATATTGCCAGTGGAGTCGTTACCAGCAAGTTATAGGCGAGCAACGGATGCTAGCCGGCACAAACTTCTAACAGGCCGCGGCCAGGAAGCGAAGTTTGAGGCAGAGGAGGAGAGGGTAGCGGGGAGAGAGAGGAAGATAACAAGAGAAGAGCGTAAGATCAAAGGGAAAATAGGCATATTTAAATTGGAGCGAGAGAGGAGGAGGAGAGGGGGAGAGAGAAGAGACAAAGAGAGATTGGGAAAGAGATAGAGAGAGAAAGAGACAGAGACAGAGACAGAGAGAGAGAGAGAGAGAGAGAGAGAGAGAGAGAGAGAGAGAGAGAGAGAGAGAGAGAGAGAGAGAGAGAGAGAGAGAGAGAGAGAGAGAGAGAGAGAGAGAGAGAGAGAGAGAGAGAGGGCTGGAAGAAACGACACATTGCGGGCGCTAGATCGACCTGGACCCACTGAGTTTGCCTTCATCGTCCGGCAAAAAGCTAACAATTGGTACGTATAGTATACCGATGTCATTTGACTCTGTTGAGTCCGTAGTTCACGCCATTGGAGTTCCTGGTAGTTAAGCATCAGTTCTAATCTAATGGACTGGACGGCTGACTGTACGGCCGGCAAAATTTCCATCAGAGATGCCAAAGACGGCAGCGCAGCCCATGCCGGGTTACTATTTCAGGCCACAATGCACGAGGGACAATTTTTCACTAATTTAGCCAACAATGGTCGATATGTATGGGTTTTGGAATGAATACCAATTCGCGTTTTGCCGCGAACAGACAGTTGTAACGTTGCCATAGATGGGTTTGCATCTAAATGACACAGAATATAACTATACTGCAGGCAATGAATGATGGGCTAGTATTCACACTCGTAAAACGTTTAAAGGGACTATCCCACCTTCTAAAATGTTGTTAAAACCAGTTAAATTGTGCCCGACTTTATAGATTGGATGACCAGGAACACGGTTCTTGCATTTATTTTTCATTAAACATCTTAGGCTTCCCATATTCCAAACACAAACTTTCAAATATGTGACGTCACAGCCCAAAATTACCTCCTTCCCCAGGCCACATTACTGTCATAAAGCTGATTCTTTTTACTCTGTAGGCACCACAACAAAGTTCAGACCAAGTTTTAAGCGATTTTTCAACGAACAAACCCATTTAGATCAGAATGACTAAACGAGGTGACGTCACACTAACGGTCGCTCCATGTTGAAGATAGGGCCTTGCACAAGGCCCATTTTCAAATGAAGGGAACGAATTTCTTCAACACCAAGAGGCCGCGGGGGTTGCAATCTAGATAGATGGTGGTTTCTGAACCTCGCCGCAAACTTGGCTATCTCAACTCAAACCCCATGTTAAAGGTGGGATAGTCCCTTTAAGTGTCTTTTATGAGGATGGGTAAAACAAACAAATATAAGCGACTAGACCATGGGTTCTAATGGCCCAACTCCGCCTCTAGACAGCTCAATCGACAAGGTATATGTACCTGCGGAATGGCCGGCACTACGCACATGCGACCCGTCCCCCCTCCCCCGCTTACACGAAGACAAACATACCAGCGTACGGACCATGTGCAAACTTCCGCATTCACCGATTCCCCACCTAACATGGCCGCCTTATTTGACACGGGGGACCTCCGACCGTCTGCAAGGGCCGACTGGCACGCACGGGGATCGTAAAGACGGTGCTAAACGGCGCGAGACGGCCAGGAGGGAGGGGCGGAGTAGACACGCGTCATTAGGGTGGCCCGGCCGACCCCCAGCGGTCGCGGGCCGGTCCGGCGCTTCATGACCACGCTATTCCAGTGACTCCTTGACGGGTTCTCGGAACTAATGGAGGCCGATATGCCTAGTTACGCACGCACACACACACATGCAGCTGGCGCTGGGCAAATAAGACGGTGGTAGTGGTGACACACATATGTGAGCTACTGAGCCCAGGGAGGGAGGGGGATGTTATATGGCTGAACAGCATCAAGTGGAGTCGTTGGTGTCGCTGGAGTGGTTGTCAACTCACGAAGGTAATAATAAGTTGGTGTCTTCGATTTCTTTGATGTCGTTGTACTTACCAGTATCGAGTTTGTGTCGTTGGAGTCGCCGTTGGGATACGGCGTGTAGACCGCCAACGCCGCACAGTTGGCGAATATTGTTAGCAGAATCAAGTGCTCGAACGGCGTATGACAGAACAGTCAAGGAAACGATGCATAAACATAATGCTATTATACATACACCATTGCCGCATTGTTTAGACACGGATACGCAAAAGCAACAAAAGCGAGATACGATATGCACCGTATGCCTGCCGTGCAGAAATGCATACCTAAATCGATAACTAATCATGTGCTAAATTATTTGGCAAAAGTAGATGGCGACTATGACACGCAAAAAGATCTCTCACATGCCGTTCCTTAGTTATGGAAGCCGTGTTTTGTTTCACGCCATAGTCACCACCATGTTTTCAGGGAAATGAGACAATGAATCATTGTTAGGGAATTGTATGTCAAAATACAAAGGGCCAAGGCGTTTAGAGGCGATAATTTCTCCTCAGCCCTCTATGCGGCTCGCCGCGGGCGGCTGTAAGCACCAGTGTTACGAGGTTTGAGTCAGTGTTAGCCACCATACTTAATTCCATGCCAACCGGCTGTAACTTGCCGCTGAATTGGACAGCCGCGCCCATGGCGCAGTGTAACACTTCCACGTCACTGCCACGTGATTGAGGGAGGCGAGGTGCAAAACGTGCACTTTCGTTCCCCCGATAAATTAGCTTTTCAAACCTCATAACATTGAAGGCTTTGGTGTCGAACGGCCATCAGCACAACTACCACTCAGTCCCGACATCCCACTGAAATGGTCAGTCACTTATCTCCTCCTCCTCTGTCCCTCTACGATCAGCAGACTGCCCCTGATGGACCGTGCTGCTGCTCCTCCCCTCGCCATGTACTCGGAGCTCCACCGGAGCGGCGCGGGGGCGCCCGGCCGACCGATCGCTCGTGGGCCGTCACGCCGGGCCCATCTGCGCGCCCATGTAGCTCCTCCGCTCAGTGGTCTCTCCGGTCGGGCCGACCGGCCTCTTCCAGAGCCGACCGCCGACCGCCGCTAATGACACGGAAGTCAGCCGAGCACGACCGGCGAGCCGACGGCGGCAGGGGAGGAGGGGAGGGGGCAAGGCCGAGTCGGCAGCGGCGCGGCGGTGAAGTGAGCTTCCCGTGCCTGGCCGGCGCTCAATAGAGCCGGCGACGCGGTGCGAGCCAGCGCCGCCTGCTGCCCGGCCTGATGAGCGCGGCCGGGACCTGGACAGGTTTCCCCTGAGACGTCGCGCCGCGCGGCCGCTGGATCGAACCCCTCCCCCCGGAGAGGCTCCCTCGAATCACCGCTGGCAGCTCGGCGAGCGCGGCGCGGAGGCAGGTGTCGCTAATCCAGAGGATCAGCTGCCGGCACGGTACTTCCGATCAGACGTGTCATTTCCGTTGGCGCTTTTTGCTAAGCGAATGGTGCTGCGATAGGTTTGAGGGAAGATGTAAAATATAAAAAGGTGCCGCTTCACTTCAGCTCTATCACTTCCATTAGTCATTTCCTGCTAGTTATTGGTAGGTATTCAGCGGAAGTCAGGTTGGATGCATTAGAAATGATTTCAGCTCGGTTGCATGGCTTGCAGACCATAACTTGAAGACAACGGCATATCAGTTCAGCCTTGAACACCGCGAGCTCATTGTGCTGCCAGATGGGTGCGACTGACCACAGCGAGCTTTCACTGCGGCGGAATCGGACGAATGTTGGTATATGGACGGACGAGCCCGCCGATGCCGCGTGCCGGTGCCGCCCTACTGGATCGGGCTGCATCCTGCGTCTCTGGCGGCATTTCGCCTACCGTTCCGGCGGTCGGCTGCACTGTGGGCCGTTTGCAGAAATACCCGAACGGTGCCAAGAATGCGACCGGCGGCGGCATTGGCGCCAGGCAATGAGCGCTTCTGGCCGCGCCAGAGCGGCCGCTCCGCCAGCTGGTCACTGGCGACTCTGGCTACCGACTCTGATTCTGAATCCGATCCCAACTCCGACTCGGACTCCGACTCAGGCACTAACAGCAATCATCCACTCTGTTTCACATGTCGACCCTGCTGTGATCAACACTTGAACTAAGGCTTTGATACAGAGCCCTAGCACAGCTCTGGCTCCCATTTCCCTCCAACTGTCTCCGACTCTCTCACAGGCTCTTTCTCGGAGCTTGAGCTCCAGTCAAGTCTGGTGACGTTCCATCGAATCGTGGTTGCCGCTGTCTGGAGTCACTAGCGTTTTGCGATGCGCCCCACCTTGTGTAATAAATGAGCACACGCGTGCTGTATTGATCACTGGACAGGCTGCCTGTCATACAGTCCATGTGCATGGCTATGTGTACGTGCATTAAGGGCACGCGCCACAATGACCTCACGTCAGCGCTGTGTCCATTATGCATGACATCATACACCTGACCGCGGCTGACCTACAGACAGTTTCCAGAAGGCACAAAGGGCAGACCACCGAGCAGCGCCCTGGACAGTCTGTAGCTGCCCTAATTCAGATGAATGGGTCAGGAGCGCTGGCGATGAGCAGGAACTAGGTTAACATGGTCCAATAAATTTCATTTTAGCTTTTAAAAACCGACCGGGTCAGGGGAGAATTCAATAACGGAGTTCCCGGAACATTTTTGCCACTTGCCGTAAATCCGTAACTTAAGAAGGTCCAGAAGCTAACGCGATAAGCCAAAGCTTTTCACCGAAAATACTATCATGCACCTACATACACCATGATTCAGGTCAATAAAAGGAGTCAAAGGCCAAGATGAGTCTTGGCCGACATACCGATTTCAAGACTTGATAATGCAAAGTTAAGTCTTGAGGCAATGTTCACGAAAGGTCACGATCACGAACGGTAGAAACTGTATGCATTGAATACCTAACTACCAACCAATTAACTATTCACTCAATGTCAGTCAGACATTTCAGTTATTTGTGATATGTGCTTATCGGTGAAGCCAACAAATTTCAGTTATCCTCAGTCTCTGAACCGTTTTTTACGACTGCCACCTGCTTCTGTTGATTGATCTATTGATTGCGTTGCCTACATCAAGATCCATCTCAACCCAATCACATAACTAGAGCACAGAAGAGTCTCCCACCCGCCGTAATAAAGGATATTTCCACTCGACGACCCGGATGCAGACTTGCCGCAGCGGGTTGCTGAGTGTGAGGCAGCAGAGCGCGCGCGCCGGCCGGTCCGGCTGCGGCTTCACGGCGCGGCGCGTCGGCCGCCGCGGCGCCTCCGACGCCGGCCGACCGTTGGGCTGCATGGTGCGGGCGCGCGCCGCCGCCGCCGCCGACGGCACGCCGGTGGTCACCGACGCTACCGACGGGCCGCCGCCGACCGTCGGCGAGCCGCCGCCGCCATCTGAAATCAGACAGACACTCCGTCAGCGCACTGCGGACGACGGACATCGCGGGCCAAACTGCAAATAAGTTTCCTGGATGCACACCGCAAAATGCAAATAGGGAGGACCGTGGCGAGCCGTATGCCGCTCCGCCATGCTTACTGTTCTGTCTCTCCGTGATCAGCATGAGGATCAGCGTCTGAGCAATGGCGCCGAGACTTTTGGCATAAATTTGGTTGCATAAGCACAAGTCTTACGAGCACAATGTAATAAAATATTATTATTTCTCCTTCAGATAGATACAGTACGGATATTGACTGTAGTTGGAACGGCAACTGCCAAAACGATCAATGCCTGTAGGTTTATTTTCTTAGCTTTTGTAGAACAGTTAAAAATCTCCCATCCCAAAGGTCACTTAGCAAGGCATAACTGAGCCGATCGGCACAGACAGCGATGACGTCACAGATTCTGTGCTGACGTCACTGCCCGGTGAAAGTAGCGGGTAGCGCCGTTGATGTCTAGTGCCGGGTATCTGGTTCGAATTAAAGGGACTATCCCACCTTCTAAAATGTTGTTAAAACCAGCTAAATTGTGCCCGACTTTATAGATTGGATGACCAGGAACACGGTTCTGGCATTTATTTTTTATTAAACATCTTAGGCTTCCCATATTCCAAACACAAACTTTCAAATATGTGACGTCACAGCCCAAAATTACCTCCTTCCCCAGGCCACATTACTGTCATAAAGCTGATTCTTTTTACTCTGTAGGCACCACAACAAAGTTCAGACCAAGTTTTACACGATTTTTCAACGAACAAACCCATTTAAATCAGAATGACTAAACGATGTGACGTCACACTAACGGTCGCTCCATGTTGAAGATAGGGCCTTGTACAAGGCCCATTTTCAAATGAAGGGAACGAATTTCTTCAACACCAAGAGGCCGCGGGGGTTGCAACCTAGATAGATAGTGGTTTCTGAACCTCGCCGCAAACTTGGCTATCTCAACTCAAACCCCATGTTAAAGGTGGGATAGTCCCTTTAAAGCCGACTTCTGCACAGACTAACAAACCACATCCTGATGAGCGTAACGCACTGCGTTCGATCCTCACTAAACTAGCGCACAAGGTCACTATGAGGTATACTGTGCTGTGATGGCACGTCTCTATGACGTCCGACGTCACCCGGTCACGGCACGTCACCCGGATGACGTGAGCCGCCGTGACGTGGGGAGGAGCCAGCGACAGATGGCCGGCCTCTGATGACGGAGGAGAAGCGAGGGGCGCGCCGATGACGACCCTGTCAGTGCGACAGAGACGAGGGGCGGGGCGATGACCCTGGTAGTATGACGCGACGACTTTGTATCGGCCGGTATCTGTTAGCTTGCTATGGTAGGAGAAATTCAAACTCCGTCGTCCACGTCTTTCTAATTTGCATCATTATCAGTCGGACTGTCGGCTCTGCTAAGTGCTAGCCAAGCAGTTTATCTCTGTTCCAATCTAGATGACTGGGAGCTATGCAGCTATTGTGTTTTCACGACATCGTCTCTTCTCCTCTCGCCCTTCTGTAGTTTGTCGCGAGAGAGTAACATTCTCTGTAGCAAAATCGAGATCCGTCATCAAATCTCAATACCCTTTGCTAGTGACACTTTGCTGAAGCCAGGCATATCAATAACGACTACGGAAGCTCAAAACTGTCGGCTTACTCGTCGAGGTCGCCTCTAATGACTGCCTGTTTCACCATGATATCATTAAATCGGGAACTAGCGATCCCAGTGTTAAATTATATCTCATTCGATAAACACATTTCAGAGCCCTTCATTGTGCGATGATCACTAACATCTTAATAATGAGCGCTTTCTTGTATGAATTGAGAAGAGTGCATTGCCGCATGCAGATTGCCAGATCATTCAGTCTACTACTCGTACAGTTGGCTGCTTGTTTAACGCTGGTTGGTAGACGGTGGTGACAATTTGGGCCAGTGACGTCATATAGAAGCAGACCGGAATCGTGCCAATCTTTCCGCTAATTATCCTGTGTTATTACGGTTGGCCGTAAAATTAAGTAGGTCGCCCCGAAAGACATCTTGGCATCAGACCATGGGACAACCAGTATGCTCTGCTTTATGTTCATGCTCTCGCAAATTTCGAATTCAGATGCTGATTTCTTATGCATAACGTTTCACTACATTCATGCACAATGCACATAATGCATTCTACTTGCGTCATGATATTTATACGGTTTCATACGCTCACATTCTTTTTTTTTTCTCTCCATTAGATATCTGAAGTTGTATCTACTATTTATAAATCTTAAAAAGTCCGCCGCCGGTTACTCCCAAAAAGGCTTATTGCGGCGCCGTCGATTGACGCAAGAGGGTGAAATTTTCACGACTCGTGGGTCACGTCATTCAACAGGTCGTATTAAATTTTGGGCACGATGCGGCCGGGGGTGCGCCCGTGGCGCGTGCTCATGTGCGCCATAGGGTTAGCATTAGAATCGGCAAAAACGGGCCATTGCTCGGGAATGGTAAGGGCTACGGGGGTGAAATTTTCACGCCAAGTCGATCGCGTGCACTCATTTGTCGTAATAAATTTTCGACGGTGTGGGTTCAGCGGTGTGCACGTGGTGGGGCCGCGGTCGGCGCCGAGCAAAACGCTCGTGCTTTAGACTCAGTTGTTCGCTTAAAAACCTGAGTGAAAATAATCAGACAACGAAGGCCGACACAAGGCACCGCTCGCCAAGGGGATTCGCCAGTAAATACAATTAATTTGTTTTTGCAATATCTCAGCCGTTTCTGGGCCGATTTAGCTGAAACTTGGACTGTCGGTGGCAGTGTAGGGTAGGGTAGGGTAGGGTAGGGTAGGGTAGGGTAGGGTAGGGTAGGGTAGGGTAGGGTAGGGTAGTGTAGGGGTAGGGTAGGGTAGGGTAGGGTAGGGTAGGGTAGGGTAGGGTAGGTTAGTGTAGGAGTAGGGTAGGGTAGGGTAGGGAAGAGTAGGGTAGGGTAGGGTAAGGTAGGGTAGTGTATGAGTAGGGTAGGGTAGGGTAGGGTAGGGTAGGATAGTGTATAGTGTAGGGGTAGGGTAGGGTAGGTTAGGGTAGTGTAGGGGTAGGGTAGGGTAGGGGTAGGGGTAGGGTAAGGTAGGTTAGTGTAGGAGTAGGGTAAGGTAGGTTAGTGTAGGAGTAGGGTAGGGTAGGGTAGGGTAAGGTAGGGTAGTGTATGAGTAGGGTAGGGTAGGGTAGGGTAGGGTAGGATAGGGTAAGGTAGGGTAGGTTAGGGTCGGGTAGGGTAGGGGCAGGGTAGGGTAGGGTAGGGTAGGGAAGGGTAGGGTAGGGTAGTGGTAAGATAGGGTAGGGTAGTGTAGGGGTAGGGTAGGGTATGGTAGGGTAGGGTAGTGTAGGGGTAGGGTAGGAGGGTAGGGTAGGGTAGTGTAGGGGTAGGGTAGGGTAGGGAAGGGTAGGGTAGTGGTATGGTATGGTAGGGTAGTGTAGGGGTAGGGTAGGGTATGGTAGGGTAGTGTAGGGGTAGGGTAGGGTAGGGTAGGGTAGGGTTGAGTTAAAAAAGGGCCCAACATACAAAACACTTGAACATCCCGCAACTATCACCATCCCTTACAGTTTTAAAAACAGCTAACCAAATCTACCCAAATAATATGGCTAAAAATACAAGTCAATCACCCAAAACTAATGCACCCGTAACATAACATAAATCAAAACATACAGTTATCGCGTAAACCTGTACCTCTAGTCTATATTATAAATCCTAAAAAGTCCGCCGCCCACGCCGCCGTCGGGGTTACTCCCTAAAAGGCTTATTGCGGCGCCGTCGATTGACGCAGGAGGGTGAAATTTTCACGACTCGTGGGTCACGTAATAAAACAGGTTGTATTAAATTTTGGGCACGATGCGGCCGGGGGTGCGCCCGTGGCGCGTGCTCATGTGCGCCATAGGGTTAGCATTAGAATCGGCAAAAACAGGCTATTGCTCGGGAACGGTAAGGGCTACGGGGGTGAAATTTTCACGCCAAGTCGATCGCGAGCACTCATTTGTCGTATTAAATTTTTGACGGTGTGGGTTCAGCGGTGTGCACGTGGTGGGGCCGCGACCGGCGCCGAGCAAAAGGCTCGTGCTTTAGGCTCAGTTGTTCGCTCAAAAACTGAGTCAAAAGCATCAGAGCCGGGAGGTCGTTGACCTTTGACAACGAAGGCCGACACAAGGCACCGCTCGCCAAGGGGATTCGCCAGTAAATACATACAATTAATTTGTTTTTGCAATATCTCAGCCGTTTCTCGGCTGATTTAGCTGAAACTTGGACGGTCGGTGGTAGTGTAAGGTAGGGTAGGGTTGGGTAGGGTAGGGTAGGCTAGGGGTAGGGTAGGGTAGGGTAGTGTAGGGGTAGGGGTAGGGTAGGGTAGGGGTAGGGTAGGGTAGGGTAGGGGTAGGGTAGGGTAGGGTAGTGTAAGGGTAGGGTAGCGGTAGGGTAGGGTAGGGTAGGGTAGTGTAAGGGTAGGGTAGGGTAGGGTAGGGTAGTGTAGGGGTAGGGTAGGGTAGGGTAGTGTAGGGGTAAGGTAGGATAGGGGTGGGTAGGGTAGGGTAGGGTAGGTTAGGGTAGTGTAAGGGTAGTGTAGGGTAGGGTAGGGTAGGGTAGGGTAGGGTAGGGTAGGGTAGGGTAGGGTAGGGTAGGGTAGAGTAGGGTAGGGTAGTGTAGGGGTAGGGTAGGGTAGGGTAGGTAGGGTAGGGGTAGGGTAGGGTAGGGTAGGGTAGGGTAGGGGTAGGGTAGGGTAGAGTAGGGTAGTGTAGGGGTAGGGGTAGGGTAGGGTAGGGTAGGGTAGGGGATTGTAGGGTAGGGTAGGGTAGGGGTAGGGTAGGGTAGCGTAGTTTAGGGTGGGGTTGGGGTAGGGTAGGGTAGGGTAGGGTAGTGTAAGGGTAGGGTAGGGTAGGGTAGGGTAGGGTTAGGGGTAGGGTATGGTATGGTATGGTAGGGT